ATACAAAAAGTGAAGTCACCGGGTTAAGGGAGTACTTCTGGACGGCTCTCAACAAGAATACACCAGACTCTTCTCTCCCCCGCTTCCTACCCCAGTGACCACATGATGCTACAGGTTGAAGGACCATCTCGGGGTGAAAAAGACAAGGATAGGTTTAAGGGCAGTGGAGCAGAGAGGCAAAAGGAACCTGGGTCCCTGATGGCTTCATGGAACTGATCGACCACCGTTGGGCTGCCTCCCTTCTCACTGAAATAAAAAGTAAATCTAAAGATGTAAGTTTTTCAGGATTCTGTTGCTTACAGCTGAGTACCAATTCTGACTGATTTAGGCTCACTTCGCAAATGAGAGAAAAATCAGAATACCCCTCGACTTGCCTCTAGAACCGAGGGCAGTTTGGCGCACAGAAAATGCTGGTATTTGGTTTTTTTTAAATATTTTTATTTATTTCTAGGAGAGAGGGGGGGGGAGAGAGAGAGAGAGAGAGAGAGAGAGAGAGACAGCGTGAGCAGGGGAGGGTCAGAGAGAGAGGGAGACACAGACTCTGAAATAGGCTTCAGGCTCTGAGCTGGCAGTCAGCACAGAGCCCGACGTGGGGCTCGAACCCATGAACCGCGAGATCATGACCTAAGCGAAAGTCGGACGCTTAACCGACTAAGCCACCCAGGCGCCCCAGAAAATGCTGATATTTGTTGAAGGAGTTACAAAACAAACAGTGAATTCCTGTCAGCATACACAAGAAGCCAAACCAAAATCAGAAGCCTGGGGAGGATGGAGTCACCTCAGGGAGCTAGAGAAATCTCCACCGTCAGAGGGATGGGAAATGAAGATGGCAAACGGGATGGAAAATCAGTTGGTAGAGGACCTAACCCTGGAATGAGAACTTTGAAAGACGTTTTACTGAAATACACACACACATACACACACACACACACACACACACACACACAGGTAAGTACAAAAACAAATGAACTGTCCAACCTTTCACAATCTGAACACGCCCACATAACCACATGTAGACACAAACACAGAGTGTTGCTGGGCTGCCCAAATCCCATGTCCTCCCAGTCATTCCCAGCATGAGGATTTTTTAATGAGATTTTTTTTAAAAGACTGCTTATGAAAAATAGGAACAAACACAAGAACACTTTTCATTTTTCTAGATTGTTTTTTAGAGACGGAGAGAGTGCCGTGCATGTGCAACAGGGTGCTTGCACGTACTGAGGATGGGGTGCAGGGCGAGGGAGGGAGATAGGGAGGGAGGGGGAGGGGAAGGGGAGGGGGAGGAGGGGAAAGAGAGAGAATGAATCCCAAGCAGGCTCCACACAGAGCCGAAAATCATGACCTGAGCCCCCCCAAAAAAATAAAATCAAGAGTTGGACATTCAACCGACTGAGCCACCAAGGTCCCCCAGGAACTTTGTAAAAACATTTTCAGGGGTGCCTGGGTGGCTTTGTCAGTTGAGCATCTGACTCTTGGTTTTGGCTCAGGTCATGATCCCAGGGTTGAGGGACTGAGCACGGAGCCTGCTTAAGATTCTCTCTGCCCCCACCCCCCAGCCCCCATGCTCTCTCTCTTAAAGAAAAAAAAAAGTACATTTTCAGGATCTACATTGAAGTTTATTATTTTTGGTAATTTCTACACCTAACTTGGGGCTCGAACTCTTGACCCCATGATCACAAGTTGCATGCCCTTACAACTAAGCCAGCCAGGCGCCCCTAAACTGATACTTTGTGAAGCCTCCTTACCCGTTTATACCTCACTTTGGCGTCATAGAAACGATTCTGGCGGAAAAGGTAGTTGCCAAACTCCCGTTCGGTAGCTGCCACTTTGAGGACCTTCTGAAGCGGAAACTGATTTTGTTGCTCCTGAAGGCCAAACAAAAGGACACCCAGTAAGGAAACTGAAAGCCACGGAACCCGGGTGCAAGCGCTCTTACAGATGTTGGGGTTTCTCCCTCAGATGACATACTTCTGCTCGCTGCCCTATGGGTGCCAAGTACTGGGCCTGGTGCCCCTGTTGAGGTCATCTCTGTGACACCCAGCCGAAGACAAAGGAGGCTATTATTGCTACTCCCACCTCAGACACCGGAGCCACGCACTGGTCTACTCCCTCAGTCCTTAGAGAGGCTTCTGGAAGAAGCATGGCCTCATGGAATCAGAAACTGATAGAACTTGCCAAACACAAAGCGAGTCTCACAACAACCATTTATCCAACAAGCATTTAAGAGACCTTGGTCTGCCCGAGGCCCCACTAGCCTTCATGGCCCCCACTGCTGTGCCCTGGGTACATGTCAGTCACCCACAGAGCCTTTTTCTAAACACAGACATCCTGGCCCTATCCACCCGCTCCCCTGCTGAGATTCTCCCCCCAGGCATTTGCAAGAAGCTGTTTTATGAAAGGTGAGCAAAAGGGAAGGGCCCTCACTCGAAGCGATGACAGTTTAGCTGGGGAGACATCATATCCACAGACAAACCTGGGTGGATATCTAAGTCATGCACAGAGTTATGAGGGCAGCGGTCATGTGTCCCCATTTGCCTGAGACTTTCCCGTGTACACCTGCTGTCCTGGTATTCCATCTAGAGAAGACTCTCTTCTGCTCTCAAGTATCTGGGGTTGGACAAGGGCCAGATTTCACCCTAGCTGATCACTACCAATGCCTGACTTGCTAGAAACCCAACTTAATGTTGAGAAGCTGATGTTCACGGTCTTGCAGGGAGAACTAGGCGAAGAGTGACTAAAAGATCACCTCAGGCTGTGGGTCTGGAATAAACCCAAGGCCCAGCCTTGGCCTAGAACATCTGCCCATACATGAGAGCCGTTGCTACTATGGGCGTGTACCAGGAAGTGGGGGGACTCCTCGACAACTGCTACTACACAGGGCCCTCAGGGTGGGACGCGGGGCAGACTGTCACGATCAAGGCAGGGCCATTACCAAACACACAAACCCATGCTCTCTGTAAAGTACGGACATCTGTGCTCCAGAACTTACAGCTGAAAGGGCACAAAACTTGTCTGACTCAGCGGAATCCAGGAAGTCAAGCAGCTCAATCTCGAACAGGACAGTGGTGTTTGGGGGGATCAAGGGAGGGCAGCCCAGCGTTCCATAGGCATAGGCTGGTTTGAACAGAAATCTGGCCAGCTCTCCTCTCCGCATGCTTAGAAGCCCCAACTCCATGCCCCAAAGTGTAATATCTGGAAGAAGAGACAAAGAACTTGAAGCTCGCCCAGCATCCTGATCCAAGGTTATCAATTTGTTTCTGCCTGAAGTCCCAGTCTTTACCCAGCATACTCCACGTCTTCTGCACTGTGGTCCCAACTCACTTTTCAGTTTTGTTTCCCCGCCGCCGCCGCCACCACCATTGCCAAACTGTGACTTCTGTTGGCACCGTTCGTGTTCCTTCTTCCTGCAAGGAAGTTCCTTGCTTCCTCACTCCATGCCCAGCTTCTACCCTGATTGAAATCCTACTCAAACTTCAGAGCTCATTTTACATGCCCCCTCCTCCATGAAGCATTCCCTGGTCTTCCCAGCTGGAATCAATTGTGGCTTCATTAAGCACTCCTGCAACACTACTAATACCTCCCAGGACCTCATCCAATTCTGTGAATGCGGTCGGTCAATCTCCTCTAACACGTTAACAGAGATATTCTAATCACCTGAGTACATCTTCTCTTTCCAGCATGAATTACAGATACTAAGCCCTTGATGTATGTCCAGTTAACAAATGAACAAGCCCAATTGTTCTTGGGATGCCAGGATAACCTTGCCAGGTAAACCATCTCCCAAGTACCTCAGTCTCAGGGGGATGATGTGGACAAGCACATGGCTGGTTTGGCAAAACCCGGTCTCAGAAAAACCAACTCAAAGACTCCGTGCTCTGATCTATCTCCCCAAACAATTCCTTCTTTTACAGCTGCTAATCTTAACTTACCCTCTCCAAGTTTCATCAAGCGTGGAGTTTTCCTAAAGCAATTAGAATCAAAAGGCTTGTCCATGTGCTCCAGATAGCCGGAATATTTCACTGGGACAGAAAAAAAACAGTACAAGGAAAACAGATCAGGAGCACACACCCCTTCATATCAATTCTCTGTTACCAAAATAAAAGGGAATTGGATGTGTTCAAACCGCCTCCCACCCAGAGTGATAGGAAAATCTTAACATTTACATGCCTGCCCTTTAGCTATGAGGTTCAAGAGCTTGGTTGTGAGCTTCAAGGGCCTCAGAATGTCCCTTGTTCATAGTAGCCTCATGCGAAGGGGAGATGGGGTCCCTTGCATTCCCTTAAAAGCCCGAACTATAGTAAGGCAAGCAGGGGCTACCCTTGTTTTGTTTTGTTTTTTGGTGTATTTTAAACCTAGCCTTCGCTCCCCAGCTCTCCAGGTAAAGTGCGGAAAACGCTTGATGACCAGTACTTTGACGTGGCCAGCTGGGTGGCAGACGATACCTAGCACCGAAGCATCAGGGGTCGCCAGCTCTCCAGCACCCTCTCGGATGACGGCTTTCAGCACGCCCCGGTCCCCGGTAATGTCCAGCATCCTCCGACTTAACCTCTGGTACGGAGACTTGCGGGGAGAAACACAAGACCTCAGAGCGCCCTGCCTGCACGCTGCCTCCGGCACCCCCTGCCCGTGGCTCCCCAGAGCCCAGCCTCTCACCTGCCCCGAGGCGTTGTCGCCTTGCAGGGCTCCCGGGTCCCGCGCGCTGCCCCCCATCGCCACGTGGCCGTGGCCGTGCCCTTGCCGGCGCACACGAACCCTCAGTCCCTAGATCTCCACCTGGCGGCGGCCCAACCACCCCTTTATACCCGGGCCGCCCACTCCCTCCAGTGGCGTTTGGGTGCCGGGAGGAGGCGCCCCACGCTTTGCGTCAACCGCCGCCAACCGCCCTTGGGCCTCCAGTGGTGCCTGGCGGACCACGTGATGGGGACGTGACGTGCGGCGCGTAATGGGTCACGCGATGGGAGGCGCGGCGTCGGACGGGGCACTTGGCGGGAACACGCGAGGCGGGACGTGGCTCAGGAAAGGGACAAGGTGGGGCGCTGTGTGTGGGTGACCGGGCAGGTGAGAGCATGCGCGGAGCTTGACGGGCACGTGACGGACGCCCCGAGCGGGATACGCTTGGCAGATGGGGCGGGCGGTGCCACGCTGGGAGAGACGGAGCACTCGGTGCGGAGACGTGGATGAAGGGGAGGCGCGCGCAGGGGACGCTTGGGGCAAGACAGGGAGCATGGGGGGGGGCGTGAGGAAATGGGCCACGCGGGTGGTCGGGACTGGCAGCGGTCTCGGGACTGGGGGTGGGGGGGTTGTGGTGGGACACGAGGCGGGAGCGAGCTGGGGAGGACAGGGTTCCAGAAACGGCCTGCTGCTGGAAGTGTCTGGCCTCACAGAAGTGCGTTACCTCCGCTCTTCACCTTTCCTGTCCCTCCGGTGCCTGCCGTAGAAACGTAGACGCAGATAGGCCTTTAAAGTCAAACTGCCCCACTGGTGGGAGAACAAGGCAACGTCGTCCTTCACGTTGCAGTCGCTAAATCCACAGAACCTACACTTGCACCCCACCACCCCCGGGTGCAAAGCAAGAATGGCCCTAGATGCCACCCCCTCCTGCTGTTTCCCTGGGGCCTGCGGCTCTTGGCCAGCTCCAGGATTTGAGAGGTGGCCCTTCTTTCCTGCACCCATCTTGCCTTGACTACTGGATTTCTTCAGCCTCTATGTTTCCTATAATGACCCACCCTAAACAAGCCCCCCTTCCTCCCACATCTCACTCCTGCTGCAGGTGGCCCCAGGCCTAGTCTGCCCCACTTCTCAAAAAGAGTTGTTGGGCTCCTGGGTGGTTCACTTGGTTAAGCGACCGACTTCGGCTCAGGTCACGATCTCACGGTCCATGGGTTCGAGCCCTGTGTGGGGTGCGCTGACAGCTCAGAGCCTGGAGCCTGCTGCGGATTCTGTGTCTCCCTCTCTCTCTGCCCCTCCCCTGCTTGAGCTCTGTCTCTCTCAAAAATAACAAAAAAAGTTGCTGCAGAGCCTTTCTCAACTATTTTGTCTATACCTCTTCACCCTCTCTTTTTTCTTCAACCCATTTCAATATCACTTTCCCCTGGTCCATGCCATCAAGACTGCACTTAATGCCAAATCCATAAGATAGCCCTTTGTCCTCAGATCCCTGGACTCTTGTCAGCATTTGATGAAGTTGGCCCCTCTTTAAATGCCTTTTCCCCCTTTTTCTGTATTAGTTTCCTATCGTTGTTACAATTGATTACTACAGAATTAGCTGTTCTGAGCAACGGGTATTTATGGTTTCATCTATTTATTGTAAGTTTTGTAGGTCAGACACCAGCCAGCCTCACTGAACTAAAATCAAGGCCTCAGCCATTTTCAAAAAAACTTTGTTAATGTATGTTTATTTTTAAGAGACAGCACAAGCAGGGGAGGGGCAGAGAGACAGATCAGAGCCTGACTCGGGGCTCGAACCCACAAACTGTCAGATCATGACCTGAGCCGAAGTAGTCCACTCAACTGACTGAGCCACCCAGGTGCCCCAAGGCCTCAGCCTTAATACAGGCTCTGGGGAAGAATCTAAAGCTCGTTCATGTTGGTAACCCTAGATCCTTGCAGCTCTATACCTGAGGCCCCCACATCCTTGCTGGGTATCAGCCAGGGGGCCATATTTAGCACACAGAGGCCTCTCTCTTGTCCTTGCTCATGGCCTTTCTACACACGGGAGTTAGCACGAGCATGCCAAATCTTCTCAGGGTTTGAGTCATCTTGCCTCCTCTTCTGACTGTCTTCCTGATTCTTGCCTGAGAAAGTTCTCTAGTGTTCAGGGGTCAAATGGATCTGCCTCCCGGTCACTATATTCTCCTGATTTTCTTCCTGTCTTACTGGCTGTTTCTTCTCAGGCATCATACTCTTCTTGACCTCTACACACTAACAACCTCAGGGCTCTATCCTTGGACCCTTGCCCTTCCCTGTTCTTAAGTTTTTTTGTTTTTTATTTTTGAGAGAGAGCGTGCAAGCTGGGGAGGGGAACAGAGGATCTGAATCAAGCTCTGTGAGAGCAGCAGAGAGCCAGATGCAGGGCTCGAACTCACAAACTATGAGATCATGACCTGAACTGAAGGCAGATGCTTAACTGACTGAGCCACCCGGGTGCCCCAGCCCTTCTCTGTTCTAATCCCAGAGAGATCCCAGCCATTGCCACGAGTTTACATATGTGTTGTGCTTAAATAGGTGGTATATTCCTGGCCAGCTGAGAGCCTCTCGTGTGCACCGGAGCCCCAGGCTCCTATGCCCAATTGCCTTTTTCAGTGGTTCTCAGAGCATAGCCCCCAGACTAGCAGCAGGATTGTCTGGAAACTTGTTAAAAATGCAAACTCTTGAGCCCATTCCCATGCTCCTGAATCAGAAACTTAGGCCAGAGCCCAGAAGTCTGTAGTTTCACACGCAGCCCAGGTGATTCTGGTGTTTGCTGAAGTCCGCACACCACTGCTACTCAGCCAGTTGCTCCACCTGAGCGGCCTCCGGCATCTGACTCTAGATTTCCCTACCTGCCATCTTCCCTTGACCTTTTCTGTATCACGTTCTATCCACTCAGGTGCTAACATTCCTCTAATCCATTATCTACACAGTGGCCAGAGTGGTCTTTTGTTTTTTAGAAAAAAAATTTTAATGTTTATTTTTGAGAGACAGAGTGTGAGCAGGGCAGGGGCAGAGAAAGAGGGAGACACAGAATCCGAAGCAGGCTCCAGGCTCTGAGCTGTCAGCACAGATCCCGACACGGGACTTGAACTCACAGACTGCGAGTTCACAACCTGAGCCGAAGTCAGATGCTTAACTGACTAAGCCACCAGGTGCCCCCCAGAGTGGTCTTTTAAAAATATGTCAGATGAGATTCCTTTGCCTTAAAATCCTCCCATAGCTCCCACTGTCCTTGAAACCCAGTCTAAACCTTTGCCCTTCTCCAGGGCCCTCTCCGCCTGCCCCTCTGAACTCCTCGCCTGGTGTTCCCTCTCTCCACGCTCCAGCTACTAAGGTTCCCCCTAGCGTACCTCCTAAATGCCGAGCTCTTTCTGGCCTTGGAGCCTTCGTTTGCTGCCCAGTGCCTGGTCGGCCCTCTTGTAGTCTTTCAGGTAGTTGGCATCTTTGTATCCCTCGGGTCCCAACCGTCCATCCTCAATGACGCTGCCCTGTCCCTTTTGAAGGTGCCCCTTAACCAAGCCATTCCCTCCTGCCTTTTTTTCTCACCACACTGTTTCCTCCCTGTCTCGCATTAAATATGATGGCGTCTTGTTGACGACCCTGCCCCACTCCTACTATGGTTATATCACAAACTTCGAAAGGACAGAAACCTCACCTGTCTTGTTCTCTGATGTTTCCCGAATGCTCAACTTGCTGCTTGACACCTATCAAGGGCTCCATAAATGTTTGTTGAATTAACAAATCAGCTTTCTTCTTTTTTTTTTTTTAACTTTTTAGGTTTATTTATTATTGAGACAGAAAGAAACAGAGCATGAATGGAAGAGGGGCAGAGAGAGAGAGAGGAAGACACAGAATCCGAAGACAGGCTCCAGGCTGTCAGCACGGAGCCCCAACGTGGGGCTTGAACCCACAAACCATGAGATCATGACCTGAGCCGAAGTCGGATGCTTAACTGACTAAGCCACCCTGGTGCCCCTCAAATCAGCTTTCTACATGCCTGTGCCAGACCTTGGTCTTGCTTGTCATGGGGTAGAGAGCGCCCCGGCTGGCAGGCAGGGGTGCTTCGGTCTCCGGGGGGTGGTTGTCTTACTGGTGTAGAGCTCCTTGGCTCTTTCCTTTTCTTTCCTTAATGTTTACTTATTTATGTTTATTTAGTTTGGGAGAGAGAGAATCCTAAGCAGGCTCTGCACTGAGTGCAGACAGAGCCTGACTTGGGGCTCGAACTCATGAACCATGAGATCATGACCTAAGCTGAAATCAGCAGACGCGCAACTGACTGAGCCATCTGGGTGCCCCTCAAGCACCTTGTTTCTTTCTTTCTTTCTTTTTTCTTTTACAAATAGTTTATTGTCAAATTAGTTTCCACATAACACCCAGTGCTCATCCCCACAAGTGCCCTCCTTCATGCCCATCCCCCCCTCCCCCACCACATCCATCAGTCCTCAGTTTTTGTCAGCATTCAAGAGTCTCTCATGGTTTGCCTCTCTCCCTTTCCCCCACCATTTCCGCCCTTCTTCTCCCCCTTGTTCCTCCGTCAAGTTCCTCCTAATCCTCCTGTACATGCAAACATATGGTATTTGTCCTTCTCTGCCTGACTTATTTCGCTCAGCATAACACCCTCAGGGTCCATCCGTGTTGCTACACATGGCCAGATTTCATGGTTTCTCATTGCCATGTAGTATTCCATGGTATAGATAAACCACATCTTCTTGATCCATTCGTCCGTTGATGGACACTTAGGCTCTTTCCATGTTTTAGCTAATGTTGCTATGAACATTGGGGTACATGTGCTCCTATGCACCAGCATTTCTGTATCCCTTGGGTAAATTCCTAGCAGTGCTACTGCTGGGTCCTAGGGGAGTTCTATTGTTAGTTTCCTGAGGAACCTCCACACTGTTTTCCAGAGGGGCTGCACCAGTTTACATTCCCACCAACAGTGTAGGAGGGTCAAGCACCTTGTTTCTTAACACTTCAGGAGACCTGCTCCCATCTGTCTTTTTGAATCAATTTTTTACCACACCTCCATGGTGTGCATAGTGTGTTATGACTGTAATATTTATTAAGCATATAAAGAAATGTCTTTAGGGGCACGTGGGTGGCTCAGTCAGTGAAGTGTCCAACTCCTGACTTTAGGCTCAGGTCATGATTTCACAGTTTGTGGGATCAAGCCCTCCGTCAGGCTCTGTGCTGACAGCATGGAGCCTGCTTGGGATTCTCTCTCTTCCTCTCTCTTTCTGCCCCTCCCCCATTTACACGTGCATGATCTCTCAAAATAAGTAAGCTGTTTAAAAAAAGTCATTGAACTTCTAAATATTTGAAAGGCTTTGTATACAAAAGTTTGTAATTCAGTGGTATGGGTAAAGGAAGTGAGACACGAAAGAGCACAATCTAGGGGCGCCTGGGTGGCTTAGTTGGTTAAGCGTCCGACTTTCGCTTAGGTCATGATCTCACGGTTCATGGGTTCGAGCCCCTTGTCGGGCTCTGTGCTGACTGCCAGCTCGGAGCTTGGAGCCTGTTTCAGTCTGTGACTCCCTCTCTCTCTGACCCTCCCCTGCTCACGCTGTCTCTCTCTCTCTCCTAGAAATAAATAAAACATTAAAAAAAAAAAAAGCTTTCCTGTTTAAAAAAAAAAAGAAAAGAAAGAGCACAATCTAGACAATTCTGTTCATTTGAAAGTCAAAACTGGGCTATGTTAACCTATGATGGTAGAAGTCAGGAGAGTGGCTATCCTTGTCAGGGTGGGGGAGGGGGGCTTCTGATTGGGGAACACATAGTATCTTCCGGGTGCTGGAAACATTATGTTTATCTTGAGGGTGAGTAACTGTGTGAAATGCATACATTAAGCGTATAGTTAAGATCTGTGTACTTTATAGAGGTCCTGTCTCAAGAAGTTGAATAAATAGGGGCACCTGGGTGGTTCAGTCGGTTAAGCGTCCGACCTCGGCCTAGGTCATGATCTCACGATTTGTGGGTTCGAGCCCTGTGTCGGGCTCTGTGCTGACAGCTAGCTCAGAGCCTGGAGGCTGTCTTCAGATTCTGTAACTCCCTCTCTCTCTGACCCTGCCCTGCTCACACTGTGTCTCTCTCTCAAATATAAATAAAACATTAAAAAAAATTTTTTTTAAGTTGAATAAAACTACCTTCTAAAAAATAGATTCACGAAGAATGGGGTGAAGGCATGAGTACACTCCTGTTTGGGGTCTGCAAGGTGTGGCTGGGGTCCGCTCCTCTGTCTCCCCCCTTCCCCAGAGCGTGGCCAAGGTGAGCACCTGAATGTTGGAATTATCAGTGTTGCCGGCTGAAAGGAGGCTGCCTCCTGAGTCTCGTGATGTGGCCCAGTTTCCACCTGATTCTGGGTGACCTTGAGGACACAGGGGTGTTGCTGGGAAAGGGCGGAGGAAAGGGGCAGAGACGAAGGGTGGAGCAGGCGGTCAGCTACAATCCCCACATGCCTTAGCGCCCGTGTCCCATCCTGGGGAGAAGAGAAGGCTGGGCAGATCCAGCGACCGGCTCGGGATTGTGAGAAAGCAGGTAGTTCGCTGTGGGGGCTCTCCCTAGGTCTGCGGCCGGCTTCCGCCTGGTGCTTCTCTCTCGGTGCCGATCAGTTTGCAGTTTGCACAGGGAGCAGGTGCGAACTCAGGGATCGGATATAACTGTGCTTCCGGCAGTTGCTCGCTAGTTTGAGACCTGATCTAGAAAGTAGGAAGGCCCTTTGCCTGTTTTGGCTGTCCAGTTCTGGGTCAGGACGCCTGCTGCAGCTGGAGGGCACATTGTTGGTGCCGCTGCAGATGACCCAGCAGACGGCACCTTTTGTGTTTACCTCCAAATCAGGGTGGAAAATGTAGAATCCTATTTTCTCCGAGTGATTTCCCTCCCAATTAAGCCCTTTGTTTTAATGATAGGAAATGGGCGCCTGGGTGGCTCAGTCAGTCAAGTGTCTGACTTTGGCTCAGGTCATGATCTCACCGTTTGTGGGTTTGAGCCCCACGTTGGGCTCTGTGCTGACAGCTCGGAGCCTGGAGCCTGCTTCGGATTCTGTGTCCCCCCCCCCCCCCACCTCTCAAAAAGAAACAAATTACAAAGAAAATAAAGATAGGAAACGGGCCCAAGGTCATAGGCGTTGGGATTGGAATCCAGGACTGGAGACCCTGGGGCGCTCTAATTTCCAGTGGCACTGGCCTGGGGGCGGGTGGGGGGTGGTTTGGGGGCACGGGGTGGAGGGAGAGGGCTTGAGAAAGCCGCCCTGTGTTCCAGCCGGCACCGTGCATGGCGTGGCAGGTGAGTGTGCCCGAGCTGGAGGACCGCCTTCAGTGCCCCATCTGCTTGGAGGTCTTCAAGGAACCCATGATGCTGCAGTGTGGCCACTCCTACTGCAAGGGCTGCCTGGTGTCCATGTCTCGCCACCTGGACTCGGAGCTCCGCTGCCCAGTGTGCCGGCAGGAGGTGGATAGCAGCAGCTCCCCGCCCAACGTCTCCCTGGCGCGGGTGATCGAAGCCCTCCAGCTCCCTGGGGACACGGAGCCCAAGGTCTGTGAGCACCACCGGAACCCACTGAGCCTCTTCTGTGAGAGGGACCAGGAACTCATCTGCGGCCTCTGTGGCCTGCTGGGCTCCCACCAGCACCACCGCGTCACGCCCGTCTCCACCGTCTACAGCCGCATGAAGGTGGGCTGCGAGGCTGCTGGAGGGGGGAGGCGGGAGAGGGACAGGGGGCGCCCACGGAGCCCAGCTCCTGTGCTCTCTGGCGCCATCGCCTGGCACAGAAGCGTCCCAGGCCGGGATGCCAGCGCCCTGCCACCCTGTCCTGGAGCAGAACTTTCAGAGAGTGTTCTGAGCAGCTCTAGTCTCCAGGTGCTGGGCACTGCTGAGCAGCATGACCGAGAGCCCCTTGTCGAGTGCTAGCCCCTTGCCCTGCTCAGTGTTTTCTTGTAGCTCTCATCCGCTTTTTGAAGCCTCCCCCAGACTACACGTGAGGGGAGGCACTTGGTTTCCTTGGGTATTTTCATGACTAGAGCCATGCCTAGCATGTAGTAAAAGCTCAGAATGTATTTGCAGAAACAGTGGATTCTTGCTCATGAACTTTGGCATCAGATGTAGCACAGCATCGTTCAAGATGAATGACGATGATACCATCCGAGGTTAATACGCTGATCTAAGATTTATGACGAGTGGGGTTATCGTTGTATTTTACAAACGAGGAAACTGAGGCTCAGAGAAGCTAAGGGTCTTACCCAAGGCCATACAGCGTGTCAGTGGCAGAGCTAAGACTCAAACAGTGGCCAGTTCTCTTTTCACTGTCAACAGATCAAAAAAAGGCAGGAAGGATCCTTGAAAGTGAATTGTTATAGGGCACCTGGCATAGTGCTTGGGAGGAAGGGAGAGTAAAGGTAAAGAATGACAAAATACAGGTGATAGGGGCGGGGGAAAAAGAGCATCAAGTATGAAGGCAGAGGGGTCCCCTGTCACTGTTCCTGGGATTTCCTGGCATTTCTTTGCTCTTGGAACCCCAGGAGACAAGTATGAAATGTGCACAGGGCCAGCCAGGCCATCCACCAGCCCCTCTTCCCCAGACGTCTGCTCGACACCTAACGTGTGCTAGATGTTGTTCTAGAGCGCACAGTAAGCGGGCAAGAAGTTTGCCCACCCTGGGGAGCTCACAGTCTGGGAATCTGATCGTCCCATGGGTTGGGTGTTATTGTCAAGGTTAAATACAGGCAATGGTGAGAGCACCTGGAATGTAGCTCCGGCATGGTCTCAGGTGGTCAGAGAAGGTTCCCTGGAGGAGGTGCACTGCTAAGCCAAGACCTGAGCCACGAGGAGGATGCGGTAGGAAAAGAAGGGGAGGAAAGCATTCCATGTATAAAGACAGCCCTGCAAACCATCAGGAGAGAGATTTGGGGAATTATCGGTTGTTCTGTTAGAAGAGAGGTAAACAGGGGCCAGGTCTTGCAAAATCTTATGTGAAATGGGAAGGGATCTGTAGTTTACTCAGAAGGCCATCATGGTGGTGGGCTCTCTGGAGGGTGTTAAGCAGAGTGGTGATGTGGTCCAAACACAGCTGGGGAGTAGACGGGAGACTGAGGCTGGGGATAAAAGATTGGGAGTAATTACGTATGGGTGGTAATTGAAGCCACGGGAGTGGAAAAGACCCACTCTGCAGAGTGATCGGGAAGACACGGCGATGCCCCCAAAGGACCCCAGGGTTTAAGATTTGGGGAGACAGAGAACCCCACAAGGGACAGAAAGACTCAGCAGAGGGAATAGGAACACTGGCTAATGGCCTCCTGGAGATCAGGACAGAGCATTTTCATGAGAACAAGATCACTTGTGTGAAATCCCTGCTGAGGGTTGGAAGGAGTCTGTTAGGCTTAGCAGTAAGAACTGATTATCTTGGCAAGAGTATTTTCAGTGGAGTGTGGGAGGAGGAAGCCAGACTGCAGTGCGGGGAAATCGAGCCTGTGTTGCATCAGCCGGGAGAGAAGGGGACGCACAGGAGCTCGCTCATCGTTTCTGGCTTAGAGCTGGGGATGGCTTGGCTCCTGGTTTTGGATGTGGGCATTTGTGATCCCAAGACTCTTTGCTGTGACACAACTAAACTGTTCCTTATTAGATCCCTTTTACACATGCCTGTTTTCCTCCAGTTGATTGAGATCTTGAGATTGTGTGTTTCTGTTTGCTCTCACTGTGACCTAGTTGACAGGAAAGAACTAATCCCATCTCTCTCTGCCTCAAGAGAGTTAAACCACTGGACTTCCATTCTCAGGTTGCTGTGAGATCTTCTGATGCCTCCTTTTCCAGAGCAAGACTGTGTGTCCATTTAGCCCTACACTGGCTTTATTCTTTACTCAGCTCCTTTCTGGAAAGCCTCTTGCAGCTGATTTCCTTTATTTTTTTTCCTCCTTAAGTTTATTTATTGTTAGTAATCTCTACACCCAATGTGGGGCTTGAACTCATGACTCCGAGATCGGCAGTCACATGCTCTTCCAGTCGAGCCCCTCTTGCCACTGATTTTGCTTGGGAACTATCTAAGCCAAAGACTGTGTACCCTCCATGGGCACAAACCAGGAAGGCTCCACTCAAGCAGTGTAGCCGGATGGGAGTCTAGGTGGTCCTGGTTGAACCTTTAAAAAGTGGTCAGATTTGGGGCTAGGAAAGCCCAGGAGAAGGGAGTTTACTTCAGCCTAGGGAGGCCCTGGCCTGCCAGGGATTGAGTCAGGTCTTCCTAGGGATTGGGGAATCCCCAGGGCTACTGTATGCCCCACTGGCCTCACTTGGGGCCAGCCTTTTTGTGATACTCTTGATCAAATGCCCACTCATTCTAAATCTGCTGGTGACCAGAGAGTTTATGTGGTCAGCCAGCATTCCACTCAGGGAGCGTGGGCCTCAGACTGGTCATCGCCCCTCTTGGATGTTGTGTGAGGACTTCCAGGTCATTGTAACCATGTTTAGTGTCTGTCTCCATGTCCTGAAGAGGAGTGACCTGGAGATCCTTTTCTGTCTGGGTAATTCCTGCCCTCAACGTGGAATATTCTTGAACAGTCTTACTTGTTTTGGAGGCAAAAGTACCGGGGAGCCCTTTCCCTGGTTCCACTGGGAGTGCTTGTGGCCACTGTGATGTCCCCTGGAAGGGTGAAGCCCAGGGCTGGCCCCGAGGAGCCGGAGGGGTGCAGGGGTCAGCTCCTCACGAGGCTGTGGTACGTTGCCCCCAGGAGGAGCTAGCGGCTCTCATCTCTGACCTGAAGCAGGAGCAGAAGAAGATGGAAGAGCATATCGCCAAGCTGGTGAACAACAGGACCCGGATTGTCGTGAGTGCCCTTTCCCTCTGTCCCCTTAATGCTGGGGCTGGTCCCCTTAGCATTGCTGCAGAGGCCGTTTGTGATTTGCCCTTTACCAAAATCCATGCCTTCATACAAGGCCAGAAATCAAAGCACTGCAGGGCCGAGTGGGGAAAGGGCAAATCCCCTCAGGAGAATCAACTCAGTTGTCAGGACTCTGTCCAAGTTGGCTGTGTCCCTCTTGTCCTTGGGGCTGAGATAACACAGAATCTAAGTACCAGACATAAACAGCTCAAAGTGTGGGCATGACTCTCTCTTGCCTTCCCCCCACCCCCGCCCCCAATGCCTTCCCCACCGTGTCTGCTTGACCTTGACAGTCTGTGTATTGCCTGCCCAGCACCTCGGAGCACAGGTGTAGAACAGCCTGAAGCCCTTGGTGGCTTCTGCTTTTCCTGGTGGCCCTGCAGGCAGCTGTGAAACAGGAGCAGGACACCTGTGTCCCTTGAGAGTCCTCCTGGTTAACCTTTCTCACCCCAACAGGGAGGTGGCATTTCCCGTGTGTGACAGAGGCTGAACTTGGGGTTACACAGGGACTCTGGCGGTCTGCCGTCTGCTCTCCCAGGCCCTTTCAGACTTTTTCCAGTAGCGGAACCCTGTACTAAAGCAAAATCTTACGTGCACATTTCATAGGACCAAAGGAGGCAGAGCCACTGTGCTTGAAATGGGTGCTGGGGACCCAGTCTGTTCCCAGCCTCTGTTGCTCTCCCCCCGCGGGGACAGGGGGGTGCCCAGGCGCCGTGTGAACAGGCAGGAGTCAGTGTGCAACTCAAGTTCTAGAACCAGCTCAGGTTGGAAAGGCCCAGGGAGGGCCTAAGCTGCCAGCGCCTGAGGACACAGGGGTCAGTGGTAGGCAGGCAGCTCTGGCTGAGTTTCCGGCCATGACCAGCCCCTTCTTGTCCCAGAATGAATCCGATGTCTTCAGCTGGGTGATCCGCCGCGAGTTCCAGGAGCTGCATCACCTGGTAGATGAGGAGAAGGCCCGGTGCCTGGAGGGTTTGGAGGGTCACACGCGCGGCCTCGTGGCCTCCCTGGACATGCAGCTGGAGCAGGCCAAGGGCACTCAGGAGCGGCTGGTCCAGGCCGAGCACGCGCTAGAGCAGTTCAGTAATGAGAGTCACCACGAGTTCATCCGGGTGAGTGGACGAGGGAGTGTCACCCATGCCGAGGAGGTCCCTGGGGGTCCCAAGAGCCTCCTCCATGCCTTAACCCACCTGTCTTGTCTTCCAGAAGTATCACTCCATGGCCTCCAGGTAATAACCTGGGAGGGAGCTCTCAGCTTGGATCTGGTGGCTCCTCTCCCCACTTCCTGCCTGCAGCTGCACCAGTGCCTTGGCCGCAGCCGCCCACCTCTGGCTCTGTACTGAGCCCAGGGAACATGGAGATGAGTCACACCCCTGCCTTTAAGGGCCTCAAAGACGGGTGGGAGGCAGATGGCAGAGTAGGGAAGGGTCACGTGAAAGGCTCAAGTGTGCGGACTTGGGAGAAGCGTGAGCTCAGTGCGAATGGGGTAAAACGTATGCTACAGGGCAGGCTGGGCGATGAGTGGGAGAGGTGGGTAAGAGCCAGGGTGAGGGGCCTCAAATCCCGCACTGTGGTTGGTGGGAAGGGATCGGATCAACCTTCCGGTCCCAACAAATGAATAGCCGTGCAGTTCTTAGCCTTAGATTCTGATTGTGAGCGTCTCCTTGTGTTTTTCAAGTTTCCTTTGGTCTTTGGGACAGTCGGGTTAGGAGCGTTGGTTTAAAAGAATGGACAGCGTAGCTGATTGGGAGCAGGCATCCGCTCCAGCTGTGGCCGGGGGCCAGGGCCGCTGGATATAAAGAAGCGGCCCTCGAATGTTAGCGTGCACCAGAACCACCTGGAGGGCTCGTTACACCATCACTGGGCCCAGGTAGTCACTTTCTGACTCCACAGGTCCGGGATGGGCCCCCAAGAAATGTGCATTTCTGACAAGCCTCCAGGTTCTCCCTTTGAGAACCGCTGATGCCAGGGCCTCTGAGAGTGGGGTGGAGGGGAAGAAATGATGGGCATCTTGAGGGCACAGTGCCCTGAGCTGTGACTGGCTGGTTGGACTCGGCCACGGGTGAAGGGCTGGGGTACGCGGTATGCAGCCCCACCATCACATAGGACTGTCGCCCTCAGAGCAGAGCTCCAGCAGGCCCGGCCTCTGGAAGGCGCCTTCAGCCCCATCTCCTTCAAGCCGGGCCTCCACCAGGCTGACATCAAGCTGACTGTGTGGAAAAGGCTCTTCCGAAAGGTTCTACCGGGTAAGGCTCCAGCCTGTTCTCTTCCCCGGGGGCTGCCATGCAGGGTGGGCAGGGGTTTGCTACTCGTGCCAGAGTTTAGGGTGCAGAAGACTGGAAAGGTGTTTGCATAGGTTAGCGGTGAGAGCGTGGCTTTGGGGTTCCACCAGACAGCTCCGTCTCTTACTAACTGAAGAGCCAACCTGTGCTCTGAGTTGGCTTCCTCATCTGTAAAGAGGGAATGTGAAAGCCCGTGTAGTCTATAAACATTCAAATATGTGTGTATAGCTTCGTGTTTGATAAACGGTAATAACTGCTCTGTCACAAAATAACATGAAGACATTTAATGAATTCCTTTGTTACTAGCACATAAGGAGATCAGCCGATAAACTGATTTCATCTAACCAAGACACAAATAGGGTTCATTATAAAAGAGAAAGGGGAGAGGGGAGGAAAGAAACTGATGATCTCTGATCCGGGAATGTTGTTTGTGTGGTTTTGGTGTAAACTGAATAGTTGGCAGGTAATCCAGAGGTCAGTTGGAATAGTTTGTCCTTGAGCAGGCTCGTAGGGTATTAAAACAATTGCACTTGATAAGGATTCTCCTGGGGAGTTTAGCTGTGGAGCACATGGGATGGGCTGTCTTCCAGGGCCTTCCATCTGCACCGCCGTCGTAGGCAGGCAGGTGCGTGCCCTTTCCCTTAACCAGAGTGCCTCCCGCACAGCTGTCCCGTGTCTTTCCCACCCCCTCAGGCATTGTTCATTCATCCATCAGGCCCGAGGGCTGCCTCTGCTGCGCCCCTGCTCGGAAGGCCCCTGGATTCAGGATGAGGCCTTTGCACTTCCTCTCCCGAGGAGCTCAGGGCCTCCTCTGGGCCGGGGTCTGATGCCTTCGGTGTAGCTTGAGAACAAATACTTCTTGGGTCTCTCCTAGCCCCGGAGTCCCTCAAGCTGGACCCCACCACCGCCCACCCCCTCCTGGAACTCTCCAAGGGCAACACGGTGGTGCAGTGTGGGCTCCTGGCCCAGCGGCGAGCCAGCCAGCCGGAGCGCTTTGACTACAGTACCTGCGTGCTGGCCAGCCGGGGCTTCTCCTGCGGCCGTCACTACTGGGAGGTGGTGGTGGGCGGCAAGAGCGACTGGCGCCTGGGGGTCATCAAGGGCACAGCCAGTCGCAAGGGCAAGCTGAGCAAGTCCCCGGAGAATGGCGTGTGGCTCATCGGCCTGAAGGAGGGCCGGGTGTACGAGGCCTTTGGGTGCCCTCGGGTGCCCCTGCCCGTGGCCGGCCACCCCCACCGCATCGGCGTCTACTTGCACTACGAGCACGGGGAGCTTACCTTCTTCGATGCCGACCGGCCCGATGACCTGCGGCCGCTCTACACGTTCCAGGCTGACTTCCAGGGCAAGCTCTACCCCATCCTGGACACATGCTGGCACGAAAGGGGCGGCAATGCGCTGCCTATGGTGTTGCCCCCGCCCAGCGGGCCTGCCCACCTCACCCCCACGCAGCCCACAAAGCTGTAGGGCTACTGGTCAGTGTGCCTGCCCACGGGCTCTTCCCAGCCGGGCTCCGCTGGGTCCAGCGTGCAGAGAGGATGTTCCCACACAGAATTTCTCCATGTCATTGTGAACTTAAGGATAATAAATTTGATATCATCTTTCTCTTTAAGTGATTTGCAAGTGTTAACTGCTGTATGTACATACCGCTTTATGCTCCGGTCTCCAGAAGCTGGTCCAGCCTCCAGTCAGGTCAGATTTTCTGCCTGATGCGGGCTGGTCTGTGGTTAGAGTCACGTCAGTCACTCTGTCTTCAAAGGCCTCTCTCAACTTCCCTCATCATTACTTGGGATGGATTGGGGGAGGAAATGCACACGCTGCGCCAGGAACGCTCAAAACCAAACGTGTGAAAAGCCCCTGCACTAATAGAGGCCTGTCGCGGGCCGTGGGGGCCAGCTGAAGGCTCTCCCAGAGGCCAATAATGGGAAGCATTTGAGCAACAAAATCAAGCAGTGCAGTCTTCTCTGCTATCAGAGTAGTAGAGTGGGGACACCGGGCCAGCTCAGTCAGGTAAGTGGCTGACTTCAGCTCAGGCCATTATCTCATAATTTGTGAGTTCGAGCTCGTGGTGCTGACAGTGTAGAGGTGGCTTGGGATTCTCAATCTGCCCCTCCCCCACTCTCTTGTGCTCTCTCTAAATAAATAACCTTAAAAAAGTATTTCTAGGAAATCTCCCATTAGCTGAAATGCAGTAAAGTGAAGCAATTACTATGAATTTATATGGAAACATTTACTGTTTCCAGACCTAAAAAATTAACCGCTCTTAAGCTTTTCTTACCTTAGGAAACATTTTTTTTTTTTTTGAGATGGGGGAGGGGCAGAGGCAGAGGGGGAGAGAATCTCAAGCAGGCCCCACGTCCATCGCAGAGCCTGATCTGGTCCGAATGCAGGTCTCTACTGACCTGAGCCAAAATCAAGATTTGGACACTTAGCCGACCGAGTCACCCAGGTGCCCCTACCTTAGGATAACATCTTGCAAACACAGTCAATCAAGGTAAAACGCAAACGCTCGAAGACACAGTTCTGAGCTATGGAAGCTCAATGCTGAGATGTGTGGAGGTCCTGGGGAGGGAGCGGCACCAGCCTCCCTGCTTGGGGTGCTCACTGCAAAACCAACCCCTGATTTTATTTTCACTTCTCCCCTTTTTTCATAAAAGTGAAAATCCTCTTAGGATCTCTTTCAGGCAATGAAAACAGGTACTAATGAAGGTCTTTTGTAAAAGCAAAGCAGTGTAATTAGGGTAAACTTTCAAAAAGCGGAGTTACCTGTACCGGGTTAACAACTCAAAGTGGAATATCCATGAGTTGATGCTGATAAATGATTAGCTAAATCTGGGAGAAAAGACAGTTCTGCAGAAGAATTCCAAATAATTTCTGTAGCTACTCTGCCCTCAAGGACAGTATAAACCCCTACTCCTTAAGGGCGGGCTGTGCATAGCGACTTCTTTTCAGAGAGAACAAAGTGATAAGACTAGTTTACAGTGGAGAAACTTGGAAAAACACTACCTTAGCCAGATGATCAAGGTTAACATCGACAGTGAATAATATCATGTTGATACTATATGCCCTTGATGAGATCTGATGAGAATGGCACTTGGAGTTTTCCTCCCCCAAACCCATAACCCCAGTCTGATCACAAGAAAAAAAAACCCAAAACCTCAGATAAATCCCAGTTGAGGGACGTTTTACAGAACACCAGGCCTCCTCAAAACTATCAAGGTCATCAGAAACCAGGAAAGTCTGAGAAACTGTCACAGCCAGGAGTTGCCTAAGGAAACGTGACTGAATGTAATGTGGTGTCCTGGTACTTAAACACAGAAGATGAACATTAGGTAAAAATTAAGAATCTGAGACAACTATGGGCTTTATTATTAAGGAAATCTGAATCAACTATGGACTTTATTAATATTGCTGCACTTTTAACCACTCACCTGAAGGAGGGATTTAGGATGGGTCAACCTTGGCACAGCTGACTGTCCAGTTGTCCATATCAATTTGTGCTCGATTCTTTCACTCCTTCGACAGACATATTAGGTCCTTATTGTGAGAAAAGCACTGGTTTAGGAGGTAGGGATAGATGCGTGAAACAGGATCTGTGCTCACAGAGCCACAGAATAAATCATAACTACATATGGAACAGGTGCTATGAAGAAAATAGATGATGATATGATTTGATCGGGTGGGGGGAGTCCACTAAAAGATCACTTATTAACTAACCTAGAGCCGCAGGACTGGATTAAACCTTTAAACAGCTCAGCAATTTTAATGTAGACTAGAGTCAACCCTCTTGAAAAATGCTTGCTGACCTGCTGCTGGCAATACAGAGAATATATAGGCAGAATATTTCGGTCTGTGGAGGCATGTCCACTTCAGTGAATGCTTGAGATACACACTGGATGTATTCACTCAATATGTACCAGTAACCACACAGGAGCTGGGGGCAAAGAGGCAAATGCTACAAAAACCCTGTTCTCCTAGAGTTCTGGCTGGGGAACTTTCCCGTAAATCAATCATTATGATGCATGAAAAGCTAGCCATTTGGAAACCAAGAGCTCTTCCTCACAGCATGTGCCAAACTGACTTCTAAATGGATTAAAGATTTAACTGTGAAGAAATGAAGCCGTGATTTCTATATCGTAAAGGTGTGGAGAAGAGATTTCCAAGCATGACACCAAAGGCAGAAACCATAAACGTTTGTAAAAAGTGAAAACATTCTATAGTTTTATAAATGTTGTCATAAACATTTATAGTTGTCCAAAACAACTATAAGCCACACTAAAATGCAACAATAAACTGGAAAAAATACACCTAAGACGAGCTATACATGATCAACATGCAAAAGACACTAAGAGATGGCAGAAGAGTGACCCAAAAGACATTAACATGTTACTGTAACAGATTACAAAGGACCAAATAAACATAGGAAAATAATCAAGCTCAGGGAAATGAAAACAGCGGTAAAATTCCACTGGCTGTGAGGCTGGCAAAGATCGGCAGAAAAGCGCGAAGAGCTACGAAAGAGTCGAAAGAGTCGGGGAACGCGCTCCCAGGGTCCGGCCACGCGCCCTGGCTCTGACACTTCCGGGTCGGAACCTCCGTGCCCTTTGACTCCGGAAGTGCAGGCAGGCAGGGCGTCGCGGAGGCGGGCACGCTTTGCGACGGGGCCGTAAAGGCGCGCGGGAGCGGAGCATGGCGCTCTACGCGACGGCAGCGTCCGTGCTGGCGGGCGTGGAGAGCCGGCGGGGTTCCATCAAGGGGCTGGTGTATGCCAGCGGCTTCCAGGTAGCGGGATTCGGGGTTCGGGGCGGGAAAGGCGCCCGGGTGGGGGGGCCCCTGCCTCAGCCGGTGTCCTCTCGGCCACGAGCAGAACGTGAAGCAGCTGTACGCGCTGGTGTGCGAGACCCAGCGCTACACCTCCGTGCTGGACGCCGTGATCGCCAACGCTGGCCTCCTCCGCGCCGAGAAGAAACTGCGGCCGCACCTGGCTAAGGTAGCGCGGCCGGGGGGCGGGGCAGGGCTGGGCGCCCCTTCCGGACTTGGTTGCAGCGCTGTACGGTCCACGGTGTGACTTAGGCAAGTCGCTCCTCGGAAATGAGGATGGGCACTCTTTGGCCGGGTTCTTTGAGGTGGGGACTCCGTGCTTTCACTTCGAGCCGAGTGGAAGATACGATAAGAACCAAAGGACAAAGTAGCCGCGCAGGGACTCTGGCTGAAACAGAAGGATGATATTGACAAAGAGGAAGGTTGGGACCCCTGAGCCCTGGGGAGTGGGCTCGGGACTGGGTTCGGCCATCAATCCTTTGTGATCCGGGGCGGGACACCTCACTATAATCTGTTGCCATCTCGACAGGTGATTTCTTGAGCGCTTCCGGTGTCAACACTATGGAGTTAAAAGACCTTCATGTTTAAGGGTTTTATCCCCCCCTTTCTTTTCTCGTCCCCAGGTACTCGTGTACGAGTTGTTGCTGGGAAAGGGCTTTAAAGGTGGCGGTGGGGGCCGATGGAGGCCTTTGCTGGACCGGCACCGGGCAAGGCTGAAGGCCGAGCTGGCCCGGCTCAAGGTTCATCGAGGTGTGAGCAAGAACGAGGACCTGTTGCAGGTGGAATCCAAGCCTGGCCCAGGTGAGCTGGAGGGAGTGGCGGGGAGGAGGGTAGCTCGCAGGGGCTCGGAAGAGAGGGCCTCGGTCCTGCCCGCTCACTGCTGATCGCCTCCCAGCCTCCCAGGTGCCTCGGTTTGTGCGGGTGAACACTCTGAAGAGCTGCCCTGATGATGCAGTCGATTACTTCAAGAGACAAGGTTTCTCCTACCAGGGTCGGGCTTCCAGGTGAGCTGAGACCCAGGCCTGGCTGCCCTCTTCTGGGGGAGGTGCCTGTGGGGGTGGGGGGCACTGGGAAACAGGGATCCCTGGGAAGAGAGGGGAGGGGAAGGGGTGGTTGTGACGACACCCCTGTTCTCTTGTAGTTTTCTAGCAGTTTCTTCCTTGAAGGCCTGTCTTCCTCCGTCCCATAAACATTGATTCTTGTGGTTCCATCCGACTTTCTTGTAATGTGTCCCTCAATTTCTCCAACTCTAACTCCTGCTTCTCCCTGATGATTTGTGCCTCCTGGTCTAGACTTCTCTCACTGTGCCTGCCCTCGGGGTCCTGTCAGTGTCAAATCACCCCGCAGTCACAGTGTATGTCAAACTAAATCCATCTTCCCCCAGAACTTTGCACCACCTTCTTTTTTTTTTTAGTCGCTAAAACCTGTGTATTCAAAATTCGGAATTTAAGAGAAGTCCTTCCAAAGCATTGTGCTTAAATGCTCACTGTTGGTTTATTTTGCGGTGTTTTCCACCCCTCGAGGTATAATTTACACCTAATATTAGTTTCAGGTGGAGGCTAATGACTATGTGTGTGTGTGTACATTGCAAAGTAATGGCTACAATAAATCTAGTTAACATTTGTTACCACCCATACATAGTTACAGAAAGTTTTGTTTTTCTTGTGATGAGGACTTTTAATATCTCATATCATCTTTCAAATCTGCAGTAGTGTATTACAGTCACCATGCTGTTTATTAGATTCCCAAGACTTCAAGTAGAAATTTGTACCTCTTGACCATCTTTACCCCTTTTGCAACCTCGCTTCCCTACAGTCACAAATCTGTTCTCTGTATTTGTGAGTTGGTTGGTTTTGGTTTTGCTTTTGCTTTAATTTTTTTAATGTTTTATTTCTGAGAGAGAGAGAGAGAGAGAGCATGAGCAGGGGAGGGTCAGATAGGGAGGGAGACACAGAATCCGAAACAGGCTCCAGGCTCTGAGCTGTCAGCACAGAGCCCGACACGGGGCTCGAACCCATGAACCGTGAGGTCATGACCTGAGCCAAAACTGGATGCTTAACTGACTGAGCCACCCAGGCGCCTCGGTTTTGGGGTTTTTTGTTTTTTGTTTTTTTATTTAAAGAGATTCCACCTAATAGAATACACAGTGTTTGTCTTCCTCTGTTTGATATGTTTCACTTAGCATAATACTTTCAAGGTCCATCCATTTGGTCACAAATAGCAAGATTTTATTCTTTTAGGGGGAGCCAAATACTCCTGTGTGTGTACACGCGTGTGTAGGTGCACACATACATGTATATAGTTACGTGTTTTTTTTACTCCTCTATTAGTCGACACTTGGACCAACTTCGCTATTACAGACCGTACTGCAGTAAAAGGGTCCAGGTATCTTTCTGAAGTGGTGTTTTTGTTTTCTTTGGGTAAATACCTAGAAATGGGATTGTAGGATCATAGGGTAGTACTATTTTTAATTTTTTGAGGAACTTCCATAGTGTTTTCCACAGTGGCTGCACCAGTTAATGTTTTCTCCAAAGGTGCACGAGGGCCCCCCCATTCTCCACATCCTTGCCAACCCTTGTTATTTCTTACCTTTTTGGGAACAGCCATTCTCACAGTTGTGAGGTGACATCTCATCGTGGCTTTCATTTCCATTTCCCCCAATGACTAGTGATGGTCACCTTTTGGTGTACTTTTTGGCCATCTGTCCGTCTTTGGACAACTGTCTGTTTAGATCCTTTACACGTGTTTTAATCCCCCCCCTTTTTTTTTGTTTACTATTGAGTTGGTGCTCTTTACATATATTAGGTATTACCTCCTTATCCAGATACATGGTTTGCAGATAATTTTCTTCCATTCAGTAGGTTGCTTTTCCATTTTGTTGATGGTTTCCTCTGCTGTACAGAGCTTTTTAGTTTGGTATAGTTCCACTTGTTTACTTTTGCTTCCGCTTTTTGTGTGGAGTTGGAGCCAAAAAAAATTTTAAAAAACCCGAGACTGGTGACAGGGAGCTTACCACCCATGTTTTCTTCCGGGAGTTTTCTGCTTGCAGGGCTCACATTTAGGTCTTGCAACCATTTTGAGTTAGTTTTTGTGTCTGGTGTAAGGAACGGGTCCAGTTTCTTCTTTTGCATGGCCTCAGGTCTTCCCAACACCATTACTGAAGAGAGTGTTTCTTTTTTTTTTTTTTAAATGTTTTATTTCTAGCAGAGAGAGAGACAGCGTGAGCAGGGGAGGGTCAGAGAGAGAGGGAGCCACAGACTGAAACAGGCTCCAGGCTCTGAGCTGGCAGTCAGCACAGAGCCCGACGCGGGGCTCGAACCCACAAACCGCGAGATCATGACCCAAGCGAAAGTCAGACACTCAACCGACTAAGCCACCCAGGCGCCCCTGAAGAGAGTGTTTCTTCCCTGTTGTGTATTCTTGGCTCCTTCATTAATTGTTCATTTTTAAGTGTGGGGTTTATTTCTGGGCTCTCTGTTCTGTCTCATTGATCTGTGTGTCTGATTTTATGCCAATACCATACTGTCTTGATTTCTGTAGCTTTGTAATATAGTTTGAAATCAGGGAGTGTGATATCTCCAGCTTTGTTCCTCTTTCTCAAGATTGCTTTGGCTCTTCGGGGTCTTTTGTGGTTCTTCATTTGAGATTTGTTCTGTCTGTAAAAAATTCTATCGGAATTGATAGGGATTGCATTGAATTTGTAGGTTGCTTTAGGCAGTATGGGCATTTTAACATTATTCTTCCAGTCCATGAGAATGGAATATCTTTTCACTTGTTTGTGTTGTCTTTAGTTTCTTTCATCAGTATCTTATAGTTTTGTTTTGCTTTTTTTAAGAGAATAGGTGACTGCTTTTTTTTTTTTTAAGTGTTTATTTTTGAGAGAGAGAGAGAGAGAGACAAAACAGCAGGAGCAGGGAGAGGGCCAGAGAGAGAGGGAGACACAGAATCCGAAACAGGCTCCAGGCCCTGAGCTGTTAGCACAGAGCCTGATGTGGCGCTCGAACTCACGAACCGTGAGATCACGACCTGAGCTGAAGTCAGATGCTTAACCAACTAAGACACCCAGGTGCCCCAGTATCTTATAGTTTTAAGAGTATAGGACTTTCACTTGTTTGAATTTTTTTGGATTTACAAACATAAATAGGATTGTTAATTTCTTTTTCAAGAGAATGTTGGTTTGCAACCCTCCTTGGGAGCTTCCCAGATAGAATCTGAAACCAGCCCCCATGCACAGAGGGCAGGGCCAGTGAGGGAATGAGGAAAGAGGCAGACCATTCCAGACTGATAGGTGGCAAGTTTAATAAGCAAGGGAGCTTCTATACGAGGCTTGGCTTCGGTTACTGAAGATGAGCAGATCTCTGCCCCCACCTACCAGAATCTTGAAAGTTTATACAGAGGCCTTAATTGGGGTCGCTCACATACAGGCCCCATGTTGGAGATATTGTGGGTTCGGTTCTAGAACACTGCAGTAAAGCAAGTCGAATGAATACTTGGGTTTCTCAGTGCCTATGAAATTTAGGTTTCTACTATACTGTGGTCTCTTAAGCGTGCAGAGCATTATGTCAAAAAAAAAAAAAAAAAAACCTATGTATTTTAAACATACTTCAGGGGTGCCTGGGTGGCTCAGTCAGTTGAGCGTCTGACTTCGGCCCAGGTCATGATCTCATGGGTTCGAGCCCTGCATCAGGCTCTGTGCTGACAGCTAGCTCAGAGCCTGGAGCCTGCTTCAGATTCTGTGTCTCCCTCTCTC